CTACTAGATGTTAAAAAATAATTTAAGCCGATTAAGCAGCTTAATAATTTAAGCAGTTTAGACATCAACAATTGAAACATCAACAGCAGGAGAAAGATGCTACTCTGCTTCTGCAACAATTACAGCCTTGGAAAACCAAAGGGGCAGTTCTGGTCTGTCCTCTGGCCTCAACGCTCCAAATCAACTTTATGGCAATTGGGGGTGTGGGGTGTGTGGGGTGGCGGTGGGAGTGGGCGGATGGGTGTGTGTGTGTGTGTGTGTGTCAAACAGAGGCTTGTGGCGGATGTGTGTCAAACAGAGGCTTGTGGCAGTTCATTGTCTTGGGTAGTCTTGAAGTGCTTATGAGCTGCAGAGCTAGGACTGGGTCTCAGGTCCGAGTCATGCTCTTTCCAGAATTTTGAATCAGTGACCAAAGGAAACAGATTAAGGATCAAATTTTAGAGGGCATTGGCTCTTTACAGTCATTATGTTAAACTTCAACATGACCTACTTCCATTTTTTGTTTAAGCACAGCTTTAAATGGAGGTGCGTATGACGTCAGGAGATGGGATGAAAAGGGGGAAATACTGATGCAGAGTCTATCCCATGTAAAACCACAGAAGACCTGTAGAGGTCAGCAAGGATCGAAGACAAGGCGAGTGGCTTATTTTGACAGGAAGCACTGGGCTGCTTAAGTGTCTAACCAACCCCAGAAAGGGAAGTGAGATGTAAACCAGAGAGGTTTCTATAGAATTGGTGCCAAATAGGCACTTTCCCCCCCTCTGATACCAAAACCCTTCTAATTAGTACATGATTTAGAAAGTCTTTACTATGTATTCTATCAGAGAATGGGAGCTACTTTTATTAAGAAATGCAGGTATGGTGCCCCATAAGTATGTTAGTCACAGCTGTGGATGTAATCCTATTTAAAAATAGGGTTTTGCTATGTTAATGCAGTCCTAACAGTGTAGGATATGCCCTAAACCAAATTACTTATGAGTGATATTAAAAGCACCAGACTAGTAAGCATGCAGTAGGGGACGGGGATAGGAGGCCGGCCTTGGGATGGACAGGAGCCACACGAAGACTGCCAAATCACTGACAAACGCTAGGATGAGGATGCTGAGGACAGAGGAGCGAGCGAGCCTTCACCTCGAGCTGGAGCACGGAATTCAGAATTCTAAGCTGTTGAACCAGGAGAAAAATGGTTTTTCCAAGTGTATTTTTTTAGAGAAAAATGTGGGTTGGCCATGAGGTGTGCTTCGATGGACAAAGTATGACACAAGCATTGCTGCCAGTTCCAGGGCTCAGACGGGGGTCAGGCAGCTTCTGCTTTTCTCTTGGATCATAAAGCAATCAGTTATCCTTGGCTACAAATGTCCTAAGTTTTTAAAAAACCACCGCTGTGGAGTCAATTCCAACTCAGTAACCCTATAGGACAGAGAAGTGCTCCACAGGGTTTCCCAGAATCAATCTTTATGGAGGTAGGCAGAATGCCTTATTTCCCTCCAGTGGTGTGACTGGCAGATTTGAACTGCTGACCTTGACTGCTAAAGAACACATTGAGAAGGAAATGCCTGGTTAGTTTGCAGCTGTTCCAGTCATTCTAGCTGCAATAGCAAGCACGTGAGGAGCACGCAGGGCATTCTATTCCAGCAGAACTCTCAGCTGGATGAAGCCACAGGAGTTGATACCCAACCATACCACAGTGAGGATGAATTAAGCCGACGAAGCCCTGCCCAAATTGCACCACCATAGTAGATAAGCCACTGTTTTATGGGTGGTTGGTTACATTATAGGTCAAAGATAACATTACCTACAGTATTCCCAATCCTTGCGCCAAAGCAGTATTTTGTTTCCTGGTACTATCTTATGTGCTCTTGGTCTCTCATGGTTCCAGAATTTAGGAAAACATGGCATATTTAGCTAGAATGCCCAGCCATTCCTGGACTCTCAGTTCCCAGTAGATTCTCACATGGGACACGTGGATGCCAGAGTCACTTTTAGCATTTGGTTGTCTCCCGAGGACACAGGAATCATGCATTTATCTCGAACTGAACTATGGACAAAAACCTGACTGGTAGCTCTGGAGGGCATGGAAGCCAGTCGAATCAACTTTCTGGCCAGAGAACAAATGTCTGGGGATTGGGAGTCAGCAAAGTAGACAGGATTATCTGGAACTGTGGTGCATTTAGGGGATACCGGCCTTCAAATGGTGGAACCTAATTAATCTCCTCTTGGTATGGGGCACACTTGTGACTTTAGCTCCTAATACAGCAGAGACAGTATATAATTTTTAACAGTAAGTCATAAAATGGCACTGTGCCTTCTTGCTTTCTCACTGGGACCACTACTTGTTCCACCGAAGTCAGCTGCCCTGTGGTGTAGACAGCCCAGCAGCCCCGTGGAAAGACCCACAGGACAATGAAAATGAGGCTTCTTGGTCGACACCATGTGAGCAAGCCATTCTGGAAACAGACCCTCCGGATAACTGCTGCTCCAGTCACCATCTTGACTTTAACCTCATGTGAGTTCTTGAGCCAGAAAACATCACAAACCAGCAACCTAATGCATTGCCCACAGAAACCATGATGTTTAAGGCATTGAGTTTTGAACGTACAAAGCAATGGTAACGATGACACAGCAGTAGACAATGCAAAATTTTGTGTAGTCTGCTAAGCACACTTCTAAGAACTCAGTTACACCAGAACAATTTATTCTGAGAAAATACTAATAGTACAGTAGTGTAGACAGCAGTTTAACAAAAGGCATTGTTTATTCATTCTTAAAGGCAAGTCGGGAAGTGGCAGATTGGGCAGCAGATGGAAGACTGAAAT